CAGATGCCAAAACCCCCCAAGCTATGGATCAGTTTGGTTTCATTCATGAGAGTTTTTCTTATGTCTTTATGCTATTGTCATAAACCAGCCTGGGAGATGGAGTCTTTAGAAAAGCAGCCTCTACACCTGCATACCAAAATAAATTGAATGATCAACTGATTTGCAGAATTGGTTAGAGATCCTTAATTTCCTATTGATTAAAATATGGATAACATACTTCAGACCCCAAGTGCAGCTATTGTGCTGGATGCAAAAAACTCAATTACCCCATTTTGCCTTTTTTTAATAAAAAAAATCATGGTTTCCAGCTGTTTCATCCCTAGCACCTGAACCCCATACTCAATGGCTGATGAATCAGATCTTTGGTTACAAACTTGGCAAGTTCTTTAGAAATTGATTCATCTCGGCTAGTACTGGAGTAGCAGACGGGTACTTGCCTAGACTCTTATTTCTGGCAAATTCAGCACCAAATTTAGCAGGGTTGGGCAGCAAAAGCCAGAATCACACCTGGCCTACGGCATTGCATGGGGCCTGCCTTGACAAGCTTTCTGTCTTCATGCCACCACATTTCCGGCCGATTTCAGCTACACAGAGTGTTAGGTATCTCACCCCTATGAGATTCCTGCAGAAGCCCTAGCAACACATGTATAATATGGAAAAGGGGAACAGAAGAAGGGGCTCTTACATCATCCACTCTTTCAAGACAGCAATGCAGAAAACTCTTTTATACTGTGGCAGGTCTTTGGCCCATCTAGCTTCGTATTCTCAGCTCTGACCAGTAGTGACTCTCTAGCATTTCAGATAAGATTTTTTCCAAGCCCTAGCTGGCGATCCTTGCTGTTCTGTGGTAGACTCCCCATCAGAATCCTGGCATAGCCCAATCTTGCTTTGCTTCTAAAATCATCTGAGGTCAGCATACGTAGGGTGGTTCTAACATAGAGATCAATGATTTCCATGACAAAATAAGCAAACTTTGCCAGCATGGCTGGGTGGGAGCAGGGAGACAGATCTCTCAGAGATTTTCAAGATGATGCAGGATGGACATAGATTTGCTCAGATCCTGCTGTTGAGGCAGCCTTGTAAATGCTGACTTGGCTGGGGTAGATGAAAATACTTTCCAGGCAAAGAAGGCAGCATTTGGAAGCTGGATGGGAACTGGCACAGCTTCTCTTTTAGGCCATCAACAAATGACTAGGCAAGGGTGGCCTGGCAGGACAGGAACACTGAGAAGTCAGGGGGAGTGGAATAACAGATGGTTTGCTGTTATCTAGGATGGTGTGCCAGACTACGTCCTAGACCTAGGGAGAGCCGAGTTCAAATCCATGTTCGGCACAGAAATCCCTAAGAGAGATCCCATCCGTGCCCACTCCTCTGAGTGTACTGCCTTCATGCCAGTCACCGCCAATTGCCCCAAACTAACTTGCAAGTTATTGTGAGAACAAAATGAAAATGGAGGGGCAGCCATGCATGCCACTCCAAACGTCTGAGAATCAAACCCCTCAGTGGATCTTTCCCTCATTCTTATGGTGTGAAGGCTTTGAGATTATTATATTGCGAACACACGTCCACCGGTATTGTTTATATTCCAATGGGTGGCAAAATTGGATTTATTTGAAACAGGCTTACGATTCCCTTTACTTAAAGAGGGCTTTTAAGCCGTATGCTGTGTCATGTTGTTCCAGTGCTTTAACCTGCTGATCCAATATTCTGATATTAAAACTCCTGCTAGACACACAAAACATTGAAGTTCATCTTACAAGTAATAAAGCAGGACATGGATGAATGGGAACACATAATATATTGCCTCTCTGTCTTCCTGCACGGCTGCTCGGAAACCAGCCTTCCCCCCCCCCCATTATATTCCTGAATTGGAGGTGTTTGAGGTGAGCCAGAGAGAGAGGTGATATTATTTCCTGGTCTGTTCCTGCTCTACATTGTCTAATTACTCTGGTTAAAAAATCAGATGCTGAAGGCAATCAACAGCCAATAAGAGCTTGTGGCTCTAATCGCTCTACTAAGCAGAATATGAGCACTTAAGGGCAGATTTTTTTTCCACCCCAACCCATTGCCTGTAAGATTCAGGTAGGTCTCCTGAGTTCAGAGCAAATCCTAAGGGAGCTGATGCTGCTGCCAGATGGAGAGGGAGGGAGGAGTTTCCAGCATTCAACATCCTTCTCTCCTTCCAAGCTCAATGCATCTTTCTCCCCTGCCCTACCCAATGAAACCAGGAGAGGGTTTAATGAACTGGCATGCCACGCAGTCCCCGAAGTGCCCCCAGAAGAAAGCAACTGGAAACCACTTTTGAGTACTCCGTACCTAGAAAACATTGGAAGGGGTTGTCATCAATCAAAATTGGCCAGCACATAATAATCATTGTTAGATTCAAGAGAGAAAGGAAGAGCATGGAGAGAGAGGTTCCGGGAAAGATTCAGAAAAGTGAGCGGGTGAGCAGAAAGAACCCCCCCATGAGCATCTTAAACACTCCACGGAGTCTTACGTCGTTTTTTGTCTTTCCGTTGCAGTGGGAATCGGTGTTGTTTTTCCTGCCCCTGCCTGCCATGGTTCTCCCTCTGGAGAAAACCAGCACTCGCTACAAACCCATAAGGAAAATACAGAGCTGACACAGAGGCAGGAGCAGATGGAAGCTCTGTCCTTTTTGGAAATATTCCTGGGGACAAAGGGGGCGGAGGGAAGCTGACAGCACAAGGCAGAGGAGGTGGGAAGCTTCTTTTTACCAAACACCTTTCCTATTTTTCCCCCCGTCCTGTAACAGACACTTCATTCTATGTCATCTGCAGCAAGATGTGTGTCTATTTCTGCTGATCATTCTCTCATAGAGACTGTAGTCCACTGTCCAGTCTGCCTCCCGCTGAAGATGTCTGGACCACAACCTCCATTATTCCCCCAGGCAGAAGGACCATGTTAGCCTGAGGATGATGTGGGTTGAGGTTCCAAAGATGCTAGGTCTGGGGAAGGAAGGGATATCTGATTTGCTGCTGTTACAGACCATCAATCCACAGCCAACTTATAGTGGCCCTAAAGCCTGAACTACCTCTGGAAGCAAAAATGTTGAAACTGAGGCTGTCCAACTTTGGGCATATCCTGAGACGGCAGAATTCCCTGGAAAAGACCAAAATGCAGGGAAAGGTGGAAGGCAGCAGGAAAAGAGGAAGACCAAATGCAAGGTGGACTAACTCCCTAAAGGAAACCACAGGCTTGAATCTACAAGCCCTGAGCAGGGCTGTTGAGGGCAGGACCTTCTGGAGATGGTTCATTCATAGGATCACTATGAGTCAGTGGCAGCTTGATGGCACATAACAACAACCACAAATACAGTTTCAAGATAGATATTTTGGTCCACAGAATTAGTATATCACCAAATTCAGCATGTTATCAAACCCACTTCAATCTCCATTAACTCTGCAGTTGGTATTCTCCCTACAAGTACTAGAGGCAATTTCATTTACTTGCCCTTTACATACTCTGGCCTATTCTGAGACCAGACCTGCTGGGATAGAATCTGAGGGGATCCCAGGAAGCTGTAGCTGAATTTCTTGCCCTTCCAGTAGTATGGAGGAAATCCGGACTTTAAGGGTCCCCGGAATGCATCCAAAAGTGAAGGTGCCAAAAAGCCTTTGGAGAGCAAAGGAGAACAGCGTGGCTTCTGTGCAGAGGACCTGCCACGGACATCCTGGGCCCTTGGATTGGAGTCTATATGACAATTCTAAGGAAAAGCAAGTCCTGGAGCTGGATTTCGAACACCGGGAAGTGACTCTTACCACCAGCTCCTTTCGGTAAGTACTGAGAGCAGAGTGTGTGCCCGGGAAGTGACTCTTACCACCAGCTCCTTTTGGTAAGTCCTGAGAGCAGAGTGTGTGCCTTTGCTTATTTATTTATTTTATTTTATTTTATTTATATGCCACCCACTCTACCCAGAGGTCTCTGGGCGGCGTTGTGTGCGTTCGCCTGCATAAGCCTCCAAGAGCTTAGAGAAGTCACCCCAAAGAGTTTTCTCAGGTAAATCCAGGGGTTACACCTTAGTTATGGAGAAGGCAGGGACTGCGTCCCTAAATTATATATTGTGTTTAAGTCCCAGGAAACTTATTTTCTTGAGTGCAGCCCAAGACATTTTGCTGCCTGAGGGAAAAGATGACACCTCCCCCACACCCACCCCATTCCCACAAGGAATAATTAGGCTGGTAGTTGAATCTGGCTAGTATTTTGTTTTAGCACATTTTTTTCACTGCATCCAAGAGCATCAGGCTAGCCTAAGAGATGCCAGGAAGGCCTCACGAGACGTGTGCCTCTGTCCCTCAAGATTTTACCATGGTTCTGTGCCTTCCCTGAGTATTTGCAGCCCGAGGCGGCTGCCTCCTCCACCTCACCCCATGCGTGGGACCTGGATTGGATGGGAGGTGCCGACCCAAACGGACCAACAAGACCAGGCCCTGGCTTCCTAAGTCTCCTTCCTCCTCTTTCGCCCCGTTAACTTTCCAGCCTTCTTCCCCCCCCACCCCAAACCTTGAAAGCAGCTACCTTCATCCAAAGTGGGCAACTTCAGCAGATGGGGGAGTGGGGCCTTTTTCCACCCAGTGCTTCTTCTGGGGAGCCTCACAGACCTCCAAAAGTGCCCCAAAGTGCAAAAACAAAGAAAGAAAAGAAACACCAGAAAGAAACTAGAAACAGCCATTTCCCCTTGGCAAAAGGATTTGGGGGTGTAAAAATGTTTGGGGTGTGTGTGACCTACTTAACAGGTGAATCGCTATTCCCGCTGGTTTCCAAGATCACCTTTCTCTTCCTTTTAGAAAAATTTGGCAGAAAAAGCAGGATCCTGGCAGGGCCAAAGCAGGAGCCTCTTCCCTCACTCACTCCCACCCCATTCCCAATGCTGTCTGAAGCTTCTCAGCAAGGCTGTCGAAGATCGGGGGGTCCCCAGTTTCCGATACCAAAACAGGGGGCTCTGTCCTCCCTACGCCCTCCCCGCACTTAGTCCCACTTACCCAGGGCAAGGCAGAGTAGGATCGCGATGGGGCGAGGGCCAGCCATGCCGAGGGCTCGGGATCCAGCGTGGGGGGGGGTCCCCGCTTGGCCTGGAGCGGTGGGGGGGGGGACAAGCGCGCTAGGCAGGCCTCCCCGAGCCCTTCTCGCCCTTCGGAGCAAGCTCTTGCGGTCAACCGACAGACGATCCTGGGGGAGAAGCTTCCAAGGAGGGTATTTATAGCCCGCGCGGGGCGGGGGCGGGGGGCTTAGCAGCTACCCAAGAAAAGCCCAGCGCGCCTTGGAATGTCCCAGCCGGATGGGCCCGGCCCGGCTTCGGACACTCGATCCGGCTCGAGCCCGCAGCGGACGCGAGCGGCACGGGGGGGGGGGGGCCCGGGTTCCCCGACGGCGTTTGCCCCTCTCGGCCTGCTGCTGCGGTGGGACCGATCCGGGGAGGGGGCGACTTGCCAAGAAGCCCGAGAGGCGGCCGGCGAAAGGAGCCATAAAAGTTGGGAAGGGCTCGGGCAGAGAAAGTAGGGAGATCGGGTCCCTCCCCGTCGTCGTCGTGGTCTTCTTCTTCCCCTACGCGCAGCCAAGGATGGTCCTGTTATGGGATGAATGGCATGGCTCCGAATGCCTGTGACTCGGTGTGACTCCGGAATAAAAGCGCAGGTTCTTCGGCCAAAGTGGTCAAGGTCTTCCTGGTTACTCCGGGGAGACGTCCTTCTGCTTTCAAGGTGATCCGACCGAGGCGTGTTGAAGGCTCATTCCCTTGCCCCGGCAAAGTGAGTCCGTCGGTTCGATCCCCGACCTCCCCCGCCCTTCCTAAACTCGGGGTCGCTTCGGAAAGCGCATCTTTGCAGTCGGCGCGACTCGATTTCAGCAAACCGCCTCGACGGCGCGGGCGAGGAAGAGCTCTCGGCCGATTCCAGAGGCTGGCGCCCGCCCGGGACTCTGAAGCCCCGCTTCCACCGCGAGTTGGAGGAGCACGTCGGAAAACGCTTTCCTGCTTGGCGCTGGGCGGTGGGTGGAGGGGGCCGATCTGCGACTCGGCCGCCCGGAGGGACTCCAGGAGGACTCGGGAGTCCGAAGGCGCGGGTGCCGGTGCGCCCTTGCCTGCCTGCGGCAGAGAGGACGGGAGGGGAGGCGCGCGCTCGCTCGCTGGCCCGATGGCCCTCCCTCCCTCTCGCTTTCTCCCTCTCCCTCTCGGCGGGCGCCCTTTCCCTCGC